ACACACACACACACACACACACACACACACACACACACACACACACAGAATTCCATGTATGAATTGGTCTAAAGTGAAATGCTTATTTGCCTTCATAGTCTTTAATTCTAGTTGGAGATAGTGCCAGGTGGTGTTGGTGGCAAGGGGACAATAAAGTGCTTTTTAACTGCCTTCTTGCATTTAGCCTTCATGGACAGCTGATGTGTGGGAGAGAGTGAGGGTGAGCAGGAGAAGAGGGCAGCAGGGCTGCCTCCGCCACTCTTTGAGGGCTTCTTTTCCCAGCTGCTGGCCCTCTCTGCCCTACCTTGTGTGTTCATAGTCAAGGGGAGGTGGAACAAGGCTTGCCAGCCTGAGGGCCGATGTGAGCAGTCTCTGTCAAAAGACAAGGTGGCTGGCTTGCAGCTGGTAGCAGAGCTAGGACAGCGAGGGCTTCTTGCGACTGAGGAATAAGGGAGCAATTAGCAAGCAGTTGGAGACCAGAGACACTAATGAGAGAGAGTGAGAGATAGATAGATAGATAGATAGATAGATAGATAGATAGATAGATAGAGAGAGAGAGAGAGAGAGAGAGTAAGCTGGGAGCCTGGCTACCTACGCTCTGCTGAAAGTCCCTTCCCCCAGGCTGCCCTGCTCTCTTAACAAACACGAACTTCCCCGTTCCCCAGGACTAATTGAAATGCACCATTTTGTGTTAATTTCATGTGATTGAGCTAATAATGAGAAACTGTGCGGAGCCAGCTGAGGCCAAGAGGAGAGGCTGCGTGCTGTCACTTGTGCTCTCCTCCTTCAGCGCTTGGGGTCTTGGCTCGAGTGGCTGATGGCAGCAGGCTGCCACTTGCCTATGCCTTTGAGGTTGGGATAGCTGCCATCTGGAGAGTGCTCTGTGGCTTACAAAGTGCTGTTGACTAACTCACTGAGTCCATAGCGGCAGACCTACTGTGTGCCTGCATTGTGCTGGACAGTGGGGACATGGAGTTTCACGAGCCCCTACATTTGTCCCAAAAGTTTTCTCAGTCCAGAAAGAGGACCTGCCTGGACTGAAGTGTTGACCATCTAAAACAGTATAGCCGCAAAGGAGGGTAACAGAGCATGGACACTGGAGCCACACTCGGTGGGTTTGAATCCTGGCTCAGTTAGTCACAAACAGTATGGACTCTCTCAGAGACTGTGAGAATGATCATGCGTTGCCAGGCCTAGATTCTCTTTTCAGAAACAGTGGGAGTCTCATAGGATTTCACCTAGAGAGTAGAAGGAAGGCAGTATTTGTAAGAGTAGAAGATGATTTGTGGGATCCAAATGACAGTGGCATACTCAGAGGCCACCAGAAGCCAGGGAACTCCTGGGTCTCGATAAGGAAAAAGGCATGTTAAATTGCATGAGCTTTGAGGGCCCATGACTAAGTCACTGGTTGTAAATGTAGATGCCTGTAGGATTCAGACATAATAAAGTAGATAAGGTAGAAAAGGACTAGACCCGTTTTATTAATAATAGTAAACTTAAGACAGATTGTAGACACAGGCCTAAAATCTCAGCATTGAGGAGGCTGCAGGAAGAGGATTTTTGTGTTGCAGCCCAGACTCAGCTACATAGTCAGGTCCAAGTCAGCCTGAGAAACATAGCACTTTCCTGTCTTAATGTAAAACAAAAGTAGAAACAACACAATAAGAAGCTTCTGGCTATAAACAAATGTTCATGTGGTCACCATTGCCAATTCAGAAGATAAATGTGAAAACAGAAATCAAAAATTTTGTGGAAATCATCACCTTGCATACAACATAATTTCCAAAGCAACAAAAATAAAGCATATCTTTAGATCATGTCTAGTTTAAGCTCCAAGATGGCTGGTTGGGGCTAGGGTGGTGAGGGGTAGGGTCAGCTTTCACAGAGGGTAGGTTTCTGCTGAAAACCCATATGATGGGAGATAATAGAGAATAAGAGGGAAAAGGGATGTTCCCCACAGAAAAAGTGGGCAAAGGCGGGCTGATGGCATGGATGTGGGTATGCTTTACAGAACATACAGGACACAGATCTGGTTTGGGGAGGACATAGGAGGCTCCTGCGTGAGCTAAATGGACCCTCAATTTGGCACCCCTACCTCAAATGCACTTGCTGTAGTGGTTCTCCAGCCTCAACCTGAGACACCTCCTGTCATGGGACTTAGCGCCTCTGACCTGTCTCAATTGCTGACCCATCAGAGGTGACAAATAATGGGACCGGCCATCCAAGCTCCACCCAGCACCCGCATGCACCGTGTGCACAGGGCAAGAGGCTTATCCCGCTTTGGGCCTCAGAGCAGGATTACCTCAGTCATGCCCATGAGGCTGTTGGGATGTTTGAGGAGACTATTCATTTACTGTGCACACAACACAGTGTGAGACATAAAAGCAATAATGCTGTTTTTAAAGGCAGGAGTGTCTTCCAGATGTTTCCTTCCAGTCTAGTGACTTGGTGCCTAAGATCAGACACTTTTCTTTGGAGAGGAAAGAGGTGACCATATTCATATCCACCTCTGCTTGAGACTCCCCTATCCCAAGCCTTTGCTTGAACCTTGCACCAATCTGTCCAGCTGGCCCCAGCAGGAACGCTCCAGACTGGCAGTGAGGCTAAATGGTCTATAAACTGTCTGTTTCTTCTGGCCCAGGGGTCCAGCTCATCATGGGCATGCTGTCTGAGAAGCCGCGGTCTGGGACTCCCGCTGAAGTGGCAGCCTGTGAAAGAGTACAGCAGAAAGCTGCGGTGACTCTAGCCCGCCTCTGCCGAGACCCGGATGTGGCCCGGGAGGCCGTGCGGCTCAGTTGTAAGTGAAGCTGGCTGTAGCTGGAACGGAATGGGGAGCTTGGGATGGAAGTAGCTGTGATTTCACGGTGCTGCCAGTGGGCCGAGTGTTAGGACTAACTGAGGTGAGCCCACGCTCTGTGGGTTGGATGACCCTGGAGTAGAGGCCTTGAGTATAACCCCTAGTCTGAATGGCAGCAAGAGATGAAGCTGGCTAGAAGAGCGACTCACCTGCGGGCTCCTTGTCATTCGGAATCTGGTTATCATTTTCTTCGCTTAGCCATTTGCTCTCTTTTCCACCCAGTTCTTGCTCATTCTCCATGAGAGCAGTTGTTCTCAGCCTACGGGTTCCCACCTTTTTGGGAGTCCCACAGCAGATGTCCTACATATCAGATATCTACATTTTAACTCAGACAGTCATGAAGTAGCAATGAAATAATTTTATGGTTGGGGGTCGCCACTACATAAGGAACTGTATTGTAGGGCTGCAGCATTAGGAAGGTTGAGAACCACTGGAGCAGAGGAATCCAGTACCTTCCCTGAGTGGTGACAGGAGAATGATCTGCATGTGAGAATCATGAGAGTAATGCTCAAAGCACATCTGGTTGACAGAATAAGCCCTGCATATATATATGTATATATTTACAAAGACATGTTTCTTCTTTTGGAATATGGCAACATTTTCTCAGTAAATCCCCAGGGAAGGTTGGTGGGGTCTATAGCTTTCCATAATTTTTAGCTAAAATGTATTTTCTGACTGACATAGCCATTTGGGGGAATATGGTTGGGAGACCGCAGTGCGTAGCCCTGAGTGTTAAGCATCGTGCCTGTAAAGCAGAAGTATGTCCTCCGAAGCCTTTGCTCAGAGGAGTGGGTGCTATGCCGACAGTATTTGCCAAAGAGCAGCCCAGGCCAGTGATCTGCTACTTGTGGGTATGACTTTGAGTTTCTGCTTTTCTTGCCCTTGAGCGGGAAGTAGTAGGAAGTCTCCTGGGAATAGTCCTCCAGGTGGTCTGAGCTTCTCCTCCGCAGACCGGCGCTAACACGCTCTGTGGGTGAAGCTGGCCAGCGCCTCTGGGTCACCTGGCCAGGCTCCTCTGACCCATGTGTGGGGCCCGCCTTGTGTCTTGTGCAGGTATGTCTCGCCTTACTGAACTCTGCAGGTCCCCGTCTGAGAGGAACAGCAGTGACGCCGTACTTGTGGCCTGTCTGGTGAGTTATCAGCCTCCAGCACCTCCCAAGGCTTCAAGAAAGGCAGACTGAGGCCAGAGCGGCTGGTTCTGCCACAGCTGGGATAAGCCTTGGCACCTCTCCAGGCTTTACATTTTTATATTAAAATTATAAGGCTGATGTGCATTTCCATTAATTGATAAAGTTGTGATGACAATCACATGAAAGATGGAGAAGCAGCTCTTCATCCAACACTCCTATCCCCTATGACCCCAGTGATTTTTTTAGGTTCTGTGGACTACTGATAGCAGATTAAAACTAGAGAGGTGAGCTGCAGGGCTGCTAGGTGGCAGTGTTGATGTCATGGAGCCCCATAACACAAGGGCCAGGAAGTAGATAGCTGTCAGTCTGAAGTGGCCAGGCCCTTCCAGCCAAGTGGCTGCACCCTAAGATGTGGAAAAAAAAACTATAAGGAGCATGATAGACAGGACAGTGAGGGTTACTCAACCAGCAGCTAAGATCTCCTTGAACCCATGCTGGTGCATCCTAGGGTTCCCCGCTTCTGGGTGTGTGTAATCGAACTAATCTATAGCAGCAGATGGGCAATGCACGCTTTGCTCACACTTACCTTCCTGTGAGTCTGTGATGAACCCCAGAGCAGAGTGGCAGAGCAGATAGAAGTATGGGCTCACGGGGAAGCAGTTAGCTTTCAGAAGAGCGTGCTGGCTCGCCCGCTCTCAAAGAATCCAAGGGAGAAGCAGTGAATGTATGGTATTTTTTCAGGTTGAGTCACTGTAGAGCCCTCTCCTTGCCCCACTCTTCCCTGAGCTCAGCTCAGCTCTGAAAGTTCCAGGCAGACACTGTGCAGTAGCAGAAGCAGCTGGCATTGCCATCAGTGGGTCCATCCTGGCCGTACCTTGATGAGCTGTGTGTCACTGAGCACATCAAAGAGCTGTAACTCTTACCTAGTAAATATATTCCAGTGGATCTATGTGCTGCTCCTTCCTCTAGGCTTTGGAAATACAGTTGCAGAGACAGTCAGGAAAGACCTCTCCTGCAGCTTTTATTCTGGGACATTCAGGACACTCTTCTCTCTCCTGTGCCTTTTAAAGCCTGGTGAAGATTTGTAAGCTTTTCTATGAATCTTTTTTCAACAATTTCACCCATGTATATAATGTATTTCAAGCAGATTCACCTCCCCCTATTAACCCTTTTATCCCCTCAATCCATTCTGGAGTCCTTGTTCCTAGTAAGTTTCCCTCCCATCTTCTGAGTAATTTTTATATGCGTAAAGAGATTACCGTGGAGTTTTAAAACAGCACCAATTATGTTAAAAGTGTCTATTCCATATGTATGTACATGTCATATTGTTCATAGTAGTAAATACTATTTGAAGACACCTTCAGCATCTCTAATGGAGTCTGCAGGTATCTGTGATTTCTTCTGAAGAGCAAGGTCAGACATCAGCAAGATCCACAGTTTGTTGCAACACTGACAACTGAAGGAAATGCTGTTTCAGTGAGGAGTTAGTGACAAAAGGGATAAAACCCTTCTTCTCCAAGTTCACAGACCTTCTTGGGTCTATTTTTCTATCAAACAAAATGAGGAGAAATTCATAGCTGGAAGCACATAATGATTGGCCTGAACTCCCTTATCTTCGCCATTCTGGCAGCAGCAAGTGCCAGACTAAAGGGCTTGATAGGAGAAATTAAGGACATGGAAAGCACTTGGAAACTGTAGGCTGCCTCAGGTGTGAGGGCTTGTTGCTATTATTCTTGGCATTTTTATTGTGTTTCTTGAGAGAGTACATAAAAAAATTTTGGCTGTTATCGTCAATCACTCAAAGATCTTTCAACTGGAAAGGGACTCCATTTGTTCTTCAGGACAAGTGGGTGTCTGCTGAGGAGAGCCCCTTTCTCACCCATTCCCCATGTGGACGCTGAGTGAATTCTTTTACGGGAATTTGACTCATGATGTTTTCATCAAACTTGCATGGGATTTTCCATGCTTCTCCATTATTTACCTCATCTACTGTCCACTCGCTCGGCCCTTCATAGAGTGGCTCTGACCTGACACTGGGGCATGAAGGCCCCCTGCTGTTTCCAGATCTTGTCAAGCTCTGCCTGGAAGCATTGTCTTGTCCCACACCCCAGAACAAACACCATCACTACAACTCTGTTGTTCAGCCCTGGAGGCTCAGATCTAAATCCCTATCTGAGGATGTTTCCCAGGATCCTTCTGTGCTACAAAAGCAGGGAATACAGAGCGCATAACCCTAGTTTCTCCGCTTGTCTGTATCACTCATGTAGTAGACTTTTGACATTCTTTGGAGACATGGGCCTTTTGAACAGACCGTCTTGTTTCTAGCCATGCTTTCTTTTCCTCAGGTGGGGGAATTCAATTATTATTTCCGTGTTGAGGAAAGTGGCAGCACAGGTCATCGTTGGCAACAAGATTGATTTTTTTTTTTTCCTAACAAAGCAGTAGGCAACTATCTTTATTTAATACTTGGGTGTCTGGGAATGAGATCCAGGGATGACTAATTTTAACCCTCCCAAGAAGGGAGACTGAGAACAAGGCTTGGGGATAGTGCAGGGGCTCTGGGCACAGGGACAGGGACATAGATTATTCCATTGTTAGGGTAACCATGGATACTTTGCTGGGTAGGTGACAGTAGGGGAATTCTTCTGACTAGGAAAGAGTGGGAGGGACATGCCATAGGGGAGCCCACGAACAAGGCAACTGCCCAGGAGTAGGGGTGAGCCTAGCACCCAGTGGGGTGATCAGGGGGACTGTTCCATTGATCTGTCCCCACCCCACTCCTGCTCTCCCTTTTCTGATTTGGATTTCTCTTTACAGCATCTTTATCTACCTTGGTTCCGTGTTTCCCATTTCCTTCTTCTTTCCACCCTATCCTACACTGCTCTGTGCAGGATTTGCTGCATTTTTGGGTGAGTGAGTAACCCTTGTTTCTGGAAGTCACTCACAGCCCCTGAGAGCAATAATTCAAGTCCATGGATGCTTCTAGAAGTCCCAGTTTCTGGGAGGAACACATTTTAAACATACATGTACCACTAAGTTGGCTAGATCCTTAAAGGACAGATCTTCAAAATGACTAGTTTCCCAGAGTGATTAAAAAAAATAAAACAGAAACAGCAAAATCATTGTTATAGTTATTAAGAGCTTCCAGATGATGTCAGCCACACTGGATCAAATGCAAAGGAAACCAGGTGACCGTGGTGACAAGGGCACTCTGGTGGCCAAAATGGCCCCTGAAGTATCACAAGACCAGTGTCACGGGATCAGATCAGATTGCCTGGTTGATGCATCACATTTCTCAAATGCATCTCTTGGGGCAGCTGAAGGAAGTACGTACTTGTACTTGCTGGGGCCCAGTCTGATGGAGTCTTCTCTCCTGCTTCCTCCCCAGGCTGCCCTGCGTCGATTGGCTGGGGTCTGCCCAGAAGGCCTTCAGGACTCTGACTTCCAGCAGCTGGTCCAGCCTCGGCTTGTGGATTCCTTCTTGCTGTGCAGCAACATGGAAGAGAGCTTTGTGTAGCAAGTGGGGAGGAGACACACTTCATGCACTTCTCAGAACTTGTTAGCTCTCCTGGCCTCCTTATTTATATGTAATTTATTTTTTACATAAAATAGAAAGGGAAATATTTGTCAGTCAGTAGCTGGTCCTTGGGAGTCATTTTCTTTTCTTTTCTTCCTTCCTTCCTTCCTTCCTTCCTTCCTTCCTTCCTTCCTTCCTTCCTTCCTTTCTTTCTTCCCCCCCCCCCGCCTTCCCTTCTCTCCTCTTTCCTTCTCTCTTTTTGACTTCCATGGCTATGCAGATGCAGAAGTTGAATTGTGTCAAGGCTAACATGACAGGCTGTCACGGGTGACTCCCGTCATAATGCTTTCTCTCTCCTCAGTGTATACTCTTGCCTATTTTTTTTTTTAATCTTTGAACTGGGGTATTTTAACTGCCCAGCATTTTTTTAAAAGTTAGTTTTATTCTTTTCAGAAATTCAAAGTGAATTTCACAGTTGAACAGATATACAGTAAGGAAATGTTTTTCTTTAATAAATGGAATAATGGAAATATGTTCTTTTTGTTTTCTGCTTGAATTGTGTTTTAAACTCAGTTTTTGCCTCTCATGTTTTCATGCTATAAGAATTTCTCCAGCTGTCTAAAGTACAGAGAGAGTTGTCTTGTTTTTATAGGTACATTTAAAATGTGTTTCTGAATACACCAAAATCCAGCTTCCCTTGGTTCCTCTGCCCGTGTAAACCGACACCTTCCGGTGAAGAGAATCCTGAGCTGAGACACAGTGCATGAGTCCTCCCCAGAGGGCTGCTGGGAAGGAGTTAGTACCTAAGGGGCCTGAGGCTGAGAGGCCTGAGACTTTTACCAGCTCTGTGTCCAGGGCTCTCATGCTCATAGATTGAAGCTGACCATGGTGACAGTATTCACACGCCAGAAATAAGCTTCTGAACTCTTCACAGAGCTACTTCTTCAGTGTCACTTCCAGTAATATTACACAGATTCGTAAGTCCTGAAAAGTACAATGTCGTTGTATTGCGACATGATTTTAGTGTGTGTGTGTGCGCGTAAGTCAAAGGATAACTCATGGAAGTTGTTTATATTGTACCACGTGGGTCCTGGGGACCCAGCTCAGTCTGAGCCATCTCACCTGCCGAATAATATGATTTTGTAAAGTTCAAGAAAGATTTCTGAAACACCCAATTACTAGCATAAATAAATTAATGTAATGTTTCAGGTCCCAGGCTGAACGTCTAATATCTCTTTTATCCCTCACAATAATCACATGGCCATTCATCACTGTAGGCAGATGTATTAGTATATATGATCACGTCGCTGAGTCACGTGGCTGAGGTCAGTAGCTTGTAAGTTAGGCTGGAATATGAGCCAGGCAACTTCTACTGCCAGAGCCATTGCTGTTCCAAAGACCCATAAAGAAAAGTGGCAATGATGGTAATAGTGGAAAACTCTTGCATGTCATTTGCCATGTCCAAGCACTTGTTTTGAAGCTTCTATATTAATTTATAAGTACATTAATATTTACCCATATATTATTTAGTCAGCTCTTTTCTAGCCAGGCAAGATCACTGCACAGATGAGGAAATAAAGAAACTCTTTATGATGAGACAATAGAACTCAAACACTGAGTAAATGGCCCTGTATCCCTGTCCAAAGCTTGCACAGTTAGGAAGAAAGTTTCTTTTTTATAAAGATTTTATTTCTTTTATGTGTACGGGTGTTTTGCCTACATGTATGTCTGTGCACCACGTGTGTGTAGTGCACACGGAGACCAGGTGTTCTGGAACCGTAGTTACAGATGGTTGCTAATCACCATGTGAGTGCTGGGAACTGGGTCCAGGTCCTTTGCAAGAACAGCAAGGGCTCTGAGCCACTGAGTCATCTCTGCAGCCCCAGGAAGGAGGTTTTGGATGTATTTCACTAAGTTACATGACATGGTTGTTCAGATGTTGACACCTTTCACCATACGTCAACACATGACTTGTTAATAATCATGGCTGATCTCATCAGAAAAGTCTTTAAACACTGGGACAGTACCATGATTGAAAGCTCAAAATCATATTATTTAGAACAAATAATATCAGTTACCTTCTTTGGAAAGACAGCCATTCTTTGATCATTTTTGCAAAAATGTCTTCCAGATGTCTCCGCCTTAACAGGCGTAGTTTGCCTGTCAGCTCATCTTTTGAGGAGAACTGGTGGGAAAAGTGGCTGTATCACAATTCAGTTACACGCCTGCCTTCTCTTTGGATATGATACCCTTTATGTCTTAGTATAAAGTGCCAATGCTTAGGGTTTGCTTCTCATTTTTGTCAACAAGTGTTCCAGAAACTAAAACAACACAAGCCAAAGGCTTAATGTTTATAATAAAATTAATATTTTCAAGTATTACATTAAGAATATTTCTAAGTGAAATTGTTACCCAGACTTTGAATTGTGTGGCAGAATACAACAGGGGTGTGTGGCAGAATGCAACAGGGTTCAGTTTAATGCCACTGTCTTAAAACCTTGAATGTGCAGTGTTATCTACCATTACTTGTGTACCATTAGTAATGTCATCAAGTGGAAACACAAGGTAAGTAAGTAAGTACTCGGTGTTATAAAAATAGCCTTGACCTTTGAGAATTCCTAAAAGAATATTGGAAACCCCTGGAGACTATGCCCACCTCCCAGTTTGAGCATCACTGTTTTAGTTGAACTTTACATTTAGTTATTATGGAAACTGGAGCCTCTGTTGACAGGAAGAAAGCGATTTTCTCATAAACACACACAATGAAGACTTGTTGGGTTGCAGGTCAAGGCTCTGCCCACTCTGCAGGCTAATTGGCCAGTAAGACAGAAATAGCTGCGTCTACAGAAAAGGGATAATATGTATGTTGAAAATTTCAGTGTAACACCTGGGGTTGTGTACATATATCAGGCAGGGTCCTGGTGGGATACAGAATTAACTAAGCTAGTTCAAACAACGTCTAGTGAAAGAACTAATTGTGGACTTGTAAGATGAGTTCAGGGAGCCACTAGAAACTATTGAACCAGCTAGGGGTTAATAATAGACAGCTCCCAGGCAGCGGGTCACTTGGCCATGGAGCAATTGTAGGAGTGACAGAGACGCAGCCCCTAATAGGAGTGGGAGCTTGGGCAGAGGGGCAGCAGCGTGGCTGCATCTGTGTCCCCAATCCCCATATTCCGACCTCCTGCAAGCTTCTCCTGTTGCCTGCTACTCTGCTTTGAGGGCCATATGATGGAACATTCAGGAACCAGATCCCTCATGAGCGAGCAGGATGGAAGGTAATGGAGAACATACCTGTCAAAATCACTCATTCACCAGACAACCACTCTCATCAGAATGATGCATCTCCTTTTCCTCCATTCCCTACCCTCCTATCGCTACTGGACAATCACCAGTTATGTCAGAGCAGAGGCATGAGTTAAGTGCCCAGGTTAGACACTGAGGGTTGAAGGGAAAATCAGCACTAAATTTTGACTTCAAGGGAAAAACGTTACAAGGGAGAGCTAAAGAAAACATTCAAAGTCGAAGAGAACATTTCCTTCTTATTGGCTATCTGCTTGGTTGAGAAAACCTAGGAGCAGTGGGTAATAGGTCTGACTTTCAAATATTGGTTGCGGTTTGGAGTGAGAAAAGATCTATGACTGAGCCTACTCAAAGGCAAAGATACAAAAGACACCATGCATACTCCCCTGAAAGAGCCTTTGTGAGAGGTTCTGCCTTCAGGGAATACACAGCTTTTTCACGCCTTCTCCAGGCTATAAAAACCTCGAAGTAATTACTGTCCCTGTAGTAATGTTTTGGTGCAACACACATTCATAGTATGGAGAGATGGTGTTACACATAAAGGAAGCTGTATTAATAACTCAAAGAAGGGGGCAAAATGAAATAGGGTGTTGGAAAACTCAATAAGACTTAAAGTGTCCTTAAAAAATATTGTTATGTCCTCTTCTGTGGCCTAGCAACGCTGCTCCTCCCTCAGGGGAGGGGGAGTCGAAGAGACAGCCATTGAGTTCATGTAAGAAATAGTTCCTGTTCCTCTTACTAGGGAACCCACTTGGATACTGAGCTACCATGGGCTATATCCAAGCAGGAGTTCTAGGTTATTTCCATACATGGTCCTTGGTTGGAAATACAGTCTCATAAAAGACCCCTGTGCCCTGATAAGCTAGGGTCAGATGGAAGGGGAGGAGGTCCTCCCCTATCAGTGGACTTGGAAAAGGACAGGGAGGAGATGAGGGAGGGTTGGTAGGATTGGGAGGGAATGAAGGATGGGGCTGTGGCTGGGATACAAAGTAAATAACCTGTGATTAATATAAAAAATAAAAATTATTACAAAAACATTATTACTTCTATTATATGAATAAAAAATGTTATTCAGAAAGGTGCTATTTTGAAGGAGAAAATTTATAATAAGAGTGAAAGAAAGACATCAGGAGCTAGGTAGAATTTAGAGGTAAAGTTCACAGGATATGGAAAAATGCCTCTCACCCTCCAGGCAGGATGACATGACTGAGCCCTAACTGGTGAGACCCTCAAAGCCTCATTTTAAAGTGGCTTTGGGCCATAGACTACTAGCTTGAATGATCAGCTTCTAGGCCCCTGGGGTGCTCTAGGCAGAAGTTATAACAGACTCCAGTCAGAAAAAAAATGAAAAATGTTATTCTGAGACTCTCAAGAAGGGAGAATGGAGGCAGCTGTCAGCTTGGTGGATCTGTTTAAGTTTGTCCCAAAGATGGTATTAATGTTAATCTCGCCATGATGTTTTATCTTCTCTGTCTACTTGACTGGATTTAAAGTCATTCAGAAAACATGCCTCCAAGTGTGTCTATGAGGATGTTTTCTGGAGAGGTTTAACTGAGGAGGGAATACACATCCTAAATGCTGTCAGACCAGCCTATGCCTTGAGGTTTCAGACTGAATAAAAAGAACACACACACACACACACACACACACCCCAAGAGAGAACGTTCACAGCCAGCATTCATCTCTTTCTCTATCTTGACTGCAGACTCTCTGTGACCACCTTCCTCACATGCTGCCATCATGCCTTCCTGCCTGCTGCCCTGTTCTCTCAAACCGTGAGCCAAATAAAGCCTTTCTCTTCTTGTCGGGTTTTGGGGGTTCCAGCAACAACGAAAGCACCTGGTACCCCTGTTTTCTGCAAGCTACTGGTCAGACGAGGCTGAGTGACCTCTCAGTCTCACTCTTGTGAATGAGATCCAACTATAGTCTCTATTGCAGACGAGGAAACTGAGGCTTGAAGAAGCTATGTAGCAACATCAGAACCAAAGTTAATGCTGATTACAGATTGAACCCACGCCATGTGACCTCAGAGGCCAATTACATAGAGTTGGTCAGTGTCCACGTGTGTGTAGGCTTTTTGTTATTTCTGTTGTTGAGGCCAGCTTTACTAAATGGTGGCTTAATAAGATACAAGGGATTATTTCAATCTTTTTGTATTTCTTGAAGCTTGCTTTGTGACCAACTATATGTTCAATTTTGGAGATGGTTCTGTGGGGTGCTGAGAAAAAGGC